TGACACTTGATACAAATATATTTGCTGCAAACATTAATTTTGAAATATGTGTTGTGAAGTATCCATTAAAGCTGCAAAAATCTACAGGATTGTTTGCTGAAGGGTAGCCTTCGGGTACAAACTGAGTAGATGTCATTTTTAAAAAGGTAGCCAGTGTAATACTTTCTTCATTAAACTTCCTGACTCTGTTGCTACTTTGTTTCTAGGAAATATCTCTTGCAGGCAGTAGTGTTCCACATTTACTTTAATAACCCTTTCCCGCCCCCCTCAACTCAGGTGTTTAAAGCTATATTTTATGGTGTGATTTAAGTATAGAAGTCATTTAAGAAATAATTGAATTCCTTTTGAGTGGTAAAGGGGATCCTATTTCTTGATTCTAGCCCTGCCTCTTGCCTGTTACCAGCCATATGTCTCTCAAGTTAGTCGCCCTCTAGAAGGAAAGAAATTAACGTGTATTGTCTATTACGTGCCAGATATTTTCATAAACACAAATTCATTTAATCTTCATAACATGTTTAAAAGATAAGTAATTACTTTCATTTTTATAGATGAGAAACTGAGAAAAGTTCAGTAATGCTCTTAGAAACACACAGCAAGGAAGAGATCTGGGAAGAGGTTACACAAGTGTGCCTGAGTTTCAAAGTCATACTTTATCCACTATTACAATGTGGCTTTACTGGGCCTCAGTATCATGATCTGTAAAATGAATTTTAACTAACCAACAGTTCTAAACATTGGATCTGTAGCCTCCTTCATGTAAGTTACCAGGATTCCCATCAAGATAGATATTAGAGTCACCCTGCTTCTTAGATCCCTTCTAGCTCTAAGATTAACATTTGAAAATTGCTGACTTTAAATGTATCAGGATCATTTGCTTTGTTAACTGCTTTTAAGTATAGTGAGCATGTAAGCTTCCTTGAGATATGCTTGATTATTTGTCAGTGATTTGCCTAAATAATCTGTATGGTATTTCCAATTCAGAAGAAATCACAACTGAACCAATTCAGATTTCCTGATTCTACCTATGTTAATGGGGGAAAGATCAGCCTAAAATGTGTGAACTGTATTTTTTTTTTGAAGGTCATAGGAAAAATAGTGCCTTAAGTCAGAGAAAGGAAAGATAGTTGTAATGATGCCTTCATTTCTGTTGTGTACTATGCTACTTGCTTATAAAAGCAAACATCTTTCCTTTCCATCTGCTTTCCATTCACACTTACAGTAGCAAGAAGCATTTAGCCATTTATTCAGCAATCTACATCTATAACAAAGGCTCAACATTCATGGTAATGAATTCTTATGCATGTTTTCTAAAAGCAAACTATACAAACATACAGATTCCCAAACACTGACACACACTATGTAAAACATCTGTCTAACATATCCAGTTATCTACTTATTGTCTAAGGAAATGTAGTTTTTGCTTGTCTCATGTCTTAGATGTGGTAAGTAACTCATAGACTCTTACTAAAGCTCTTGATCTACATATGACCCTTTTTTGCATACATCTTATGGCTATTCAGGACTTACACTCTTGTGCTAGAATCCTGCATTGTACTGGAGCCCAACATGGGACCTGGCACCTGGTGTTTGGGAGATATTAGCTGAATAAATGCATGCATGTGTGCTAGATGCTACAGAGTTCTTGGTGATCATGTATGTAGATAGACATATAATTTCTCACCCAATTAAATACTTTAAGAATGAAAGGCCATGCTATTAGAATTTTTCTGGGACTGTCCTAGTCTACCTGGGATGTCACCCTATTGGCGTCATTATTGGTAATTGGAGTCATGGTCCAGGATAAGACAACTGAGAGTTGTGTCTGCTGAAGAGTGTGCAGCCAGTGTGCTCAGGTAACAGAGCCTAGGAGTCATTTAATGGCATCTGACATTTCATTTTACTTATTTCCTTATTCCCTGCTTACCTTAAGAAATTATTTGAAGTGACTCATAGTAAACAATACATGCATTAGAATTGTAATTGCAAAACCTTAATGCTAAAGTGAATAGATACAATGCCTGAGGTTTCACATACTTGACCAAACTGGGCACTTTCTCAGGACATTGCTTGAAAACTGAGAATGTCATTCCCAGCAGAGATTTTGTTACTTGTAGAGCAGAGCCATGAGTTTTTGCAGTTGGAGTTGGTCACTTGATCATTCACTTACTGAAGAGAATATTGATTGTTTTCCCTTTTTATTCCAATAATATGCCTATTAAGTTACCAAGTCAAGTGTCCAGCAGGTAACAGGTATATGAATCTGGAGCTTCAGGGTTGGGTCAAGGCTCAAGATAAGAGATTTAGGAATGACTGGCACATGTATAGCTTACTTTTTTTTAAAAAAGATTTTATTTATTTAGAGAGAGATTGAGCAGGGGAGGAATAGAGGGAGAGAGAGAGAATTTCAAGGAGAGTCCCCACTGAGCGCGGATCCTGGCAAGACTTGCTCTCATGACCCTGAGATCATGACCTGATCTGAAATCAAGAGTCAGACACTCAACTGACTGAGCCACCCAGGCACCCCTCCCTACAGCTTACTTTTAAAGAGGATGTTTTAGCAATATGCCAAATTCTCAGCCTTTATTTTTTGAGGAGGGTTTTTCATATGCTTCCCTAGCGTATTCTGAATCTTTGATTTCATCTCTTACCAAGCATCTAACTAGAAAAATGAAGTGTGAACACACTTCTATGTACAGTATAGAGAGACAGTAGATAATAATACTAACTTGCATTTGTTGAGTGGTGGTTATGTGCCAGATACTATTTTGATTGCTTTATGTGTACTAGCTCATTTAATCTTCACAAGTACACCATGACATAGTTACTATTATCCCCATTTTACAGGTGAGGAAATTGAGGCACTAAGTGGTTAAGTGATTTGCCCAATGTTATTTAGTTGGTAAGTGGGGAGGCTGTGATTCATAGGCAGGCAATCTGAAACCAGTCTGTGCACTTAAATTTCTCAAAGATAATTGTTTTGATTATCAATGGTAAGAATCTCATCTCTAAAATAACAATCCTTTATCAATTAAAAGAGGCTCATAGTTTATAAACCCTTTTGTTTATATACATCATTGTTGTCAAATTGTGTCTCTTAACTCTTGCTCTCCTAAAGTTTACTCTTCTAGAGAACACTGATTACTCAGAGATACAAATAAGCAGGTATCATTGGGCTTTGAGAACAATCTTCACCAGGAAGTCAAACTTGATCCTAGAGCTCAAGACTCACACACCTGGCTGTCTTCTTGAAGTCTGCTTATTTACTAGGAATGTCAATGCAAATGAAAGCCAACACTTACCCAAACAAAGGCCATCCTGTCTGATCTATTAAGTCTTGTCTTTAGCTCTAAGTCATCCTGAATACTTTTTTTTTCCATTTTTCTCCTCTGTTAACTCCATCAAAGTACATGTTATCATCCTCATTTGCCTTAACTACTGCAGTAAACTCCTAACAGGGCTCCCAGTTTCTGTCTTATCCCTATTTGGACTGTTCTTCAATTAGCAGCTTGAGTGATCAGATCTCATTCCTGCCTAAACCCTCCAGTGGCTTCCGTCTGACACGTATAATACAACCCAGGTTACTCATCAGGATTGATATCTGCCACATCTTCCACCCCTTACTCCCCTGTAATTTATGCTCTTCCACTCACACTAGCCTTTATTTTGTGCCTCAGTAGGCCAAGTTCATTCTGTCTTAGCCCTTTGCAATAGGTGTTCCTTTTTCTTTCTGGGCTCTCCTGTATTTCAAATGGCTAGCCTTTTCTTAGAACATTAAGACTACAGTTCAGACATCACCAAAAGAGAAGCATTTCCTGGTCAGCCAGTCTAAAGTAGCCATCTAGTTGCTCTATTACAGTATCACATTATGGTAATTCTCAGCAGAGCCCTTATCACCAACTATTATTTGCCTTGTTAAATTATTACATTCTGGTATGATCCCCCACACTAGAATGTAAGATCCATTTGAGCAGGGATTTGTTTATCTAGTTCTTTGCTGTATAGTCAGTGCCTAGAGTAGTATCTGGGTCCTTGGAAGGCACTCATTAAGAATTTGTTCATTAAGTAATTGATTGTTAATGTTTCGTAGCCACATCTTGAAGACCTCAACATAGGAGTTCCACATCTAAAGAAATTTAGTTAACTGGAAGAATTGTCAAAATCTTGCTTAGGCTTTTGACAGATTTGACAGGTACTGCATCTCTCATTCTGAAAATACATAGAAAATCCTTGTTGTATAACTGTGTCTACTAACCTTATTCTAACCATATTTGAATTTAGTTTTATAAATTTTGTTTTGAAAGGGGAAAACAGACTTCTGCTTTATAATGAGCTGATATTTCCTAATGGTGACAGCTTTTGTTACCTAGAATCAATGTGATTATTATTTTGTTTGAGATTGCTGAAATGAGCATTTAACATTTTTGTTGTTGTTGTATTATCATTTTATAACATCTCCTTCAAATCACGTTGCTTTATCTATGCTGAATTCCTCCTAGAAATGATGAAGTAGAGGAATACCTTGGATCTTTTAAACCTGAATAATTCAAGTGTTTGGTTTCTTCCCCTCTTCTCACACCAAAGTTAGGCCTTTACAGTATTAATTTTACCTATAGGCAGCATGCATAGTAGATGTAAAGTAGTAGTAAAACATTGCCTCTGCATGTAGAATTCAGGCTTGGAATATTTGTAGTACATTTTGATAACAAACAACAAAGAATCAACTTCAAAATGATTTATTGAACTCTCATGCTTGGCCCTATTTTAGACACTGTGGTGGAATTAGAGGATAAAACATATGTTTACATTGTGGAATTTATACATCAGTGTGGTTCAACCAAAATGCAAGTAATGTTACTTTAAGACAGATGTTCAAGGGCGAAAAACAGGGACAGGATAAATTTTAAAAGGTGAGAGCAAGGAAAGAAGAAAGGACACATGCTATATCAATAGTCAGTATTCTGTACTTGAAGACTGTGTAACAAATGGACCCACAGAGAACCTTCATGGGCTACTTTTACTTTATTGTATACAATTTCAATAGTTCTTACAAGTGATTAAACAAGTGGTTCTTGACAACAATTGTGTTTAAAGGTACAAATATATACATCTTTCTCCAACTACATGCACAGTAGTTCTCCTATCATTTTGCTAAATGTCTATGAATCTCTTGAAAAATACCAGGAATTTGGAAGGCCTAGAAAAACTTCCATTTTCCCTCTCAGATTCAACAGCAACATTGTTTTGTGGCACAAATCCTTTGACCTGTTCTTATCTGATGTTCTTTAGTTGAACACTTTAGTGCATTCATAGAATTATACATTTTACTAAATGTGTCACAAACAGCTTGAAATATAGTTTCCCTGTTTTCATCAGCTTTCAAAAAATTCTTAGTTCTTAAATTACTAGTTTTTTTTTTTTTTAATTAGTTGATTAAGCTCTTAAGCTCGTGTTCCTGAGTTCCTTGCTAGTCTAATTCACACTAGGCCAGAGATCAGAAACTTTCTTTGTAAAAAGCCAGGTAGTAAATATTTTAGGCTTTGCTGTCCAGTCACTGTCACTACTCAACGCTGCCATTGTGGCATAAAGCAAGCATACATAATAAATATGTAAACAAAAGAGTGGCTGTGTTCCAATAAAACTTTATCTATGGACAATTAAATTTGATTTTCATGTAATTTTCACATTTTGTAAAATATTCATCATCTGATTTTTTTTCTACTATTTAAAAATGTAAATACTATTCTTAACTTGCAGGATATACAGAAACAAACAGTGGGCTGAATTTGATCTGCGGGCTGCAGTTTGCATACCCCTGCCCCAGATTCAGTGTCAGAACCTGAGTTGTATGTCCCATGTCCCCTAGAACAGGAATTTGAAACATATCCCAGAGAGAATTGCATTTTACATCAAATACTCCATTACTTAGTCTATCATTATCAGTCATATATTAGATCAGTCACATTTCTGTTAAAAATCAGATACTTTATTCAAGTAGTTAAAAGGACATTAGTTCAGAAATCACTGCAGCTAAATAAATGAAGGGCTGAGGAAACCCTCCAGCAGAAAAGTATCAGGTTATTAAAATTCTTGTTACAAATTGAATTTGTTTTTTTCACTTGGATTTTTATCTGCTTTCTTTTAAAAAACTTAGTACAGTAACTCCAGAATTAGGATAGCTTCTTTTATTCTTACTGTTTTTTAGAGGAACCACATTTCTGCAGAAATAGGATTATTCTCAGGAAACAGGATTCTTTGTTTCAGTTGTGTTATAGATCAAACACCATTGTGTTAAACTCCAAATAGTATTCCCAGTTCTAAGCTACTTATGCATTTTTATTGTGTTACATATTGCTTTAAAATAAGCATGGTTTTTCGTTGGTAATCCTCTAGTTAAAATAGACTTTGTTATTTTAAAGATTTTTGTCTTCTTGGGATTAGAACTGTTACCATTTAAATATGGGTTTCGGCTGCTTGCCATAGAAGTGTAGCTATTTTCCGACTCTTTTTTAGTACTTTGTATCTTGTACCTTGTCCTTCTTTTTTTTGCTTTCTCCTGAACTTACGCCATCTTGGCGTGAAAATGTACTGTAAGAAGTCTCCTAACCTAGGAGAAAACAATTTAAAAATGTCCAACATACAACATATTTTGTGCTCTTCAAGGTAAAAATGTTCCCAGTGTTTTGTTTTTCTGGGAGTATTTCATGCTTGTTTTTCCTCTTTTATGCTTCTTTTCAGTCTGTTTGGTGTCCACTTTAGGAGGTCCAGTGTTTTTTTCTTTCCATTAGCATAATTATCAGTCTTGAATGTCAGTCACCTGGCATAACTGCTTTTCCTCTATCAAATACCACTGCCATCTCCTAGCAGTTTTCTCACTTACGTCTTGACTGAATGGTCCTTCTCTCCATCATTCACTCATCCTCTGTTCATTTAACATTACCTGCATATTGCAGGCACCACACTAAGCACCCTACGCATGTTCCCACTGTACCATTCACCTGTTACTACCCTGCACTTCCTTCTGAACTGTTTCTCTTGTATGTTTGTCTTAGAACTTCGTCACCTTTTTTTTTGTCACTTCCTCCCACTATTTCTCCTACTGCTTTTCAGCTTAGACTTTTCCATTTCAGGCTTTTAATTCACGTGACCTTCCCTATCTTCTTCCTCTGCCACTTCCCTGTTGGGACTGCTGCACGTCATCCCTCTCTTTGGCTGCATTGCTCAGTGCTACCCAGAATTCCAGCTCCTTTTCCTCCTCCTTGAAATTCGAGTGAGTCCAGGGGTATTTGTACAGTGACATGAGCACATTGAAGCAGGCTTGGCTGGATGAGTGTGGAGAATGGCAGTTCCTTTACTCCTACTCTGCTGGCTCAGTCCCAGGATAGCTGGCTAAAGCACTGTCCTTCCAGGATTTCTTCCAGGATCATGTCTCCAGTTCTCAGTGCAGGATCACAGAGAACCTTGCATCATGCTCTTCACAGAATTTTTTTTCTTTCTGACTGAAGCTTTGTATAATATAACTGTGTCATGTCAAAAATGCCTTGTCTTGGGCTCCTGGGTGGCTCAGTTGGTTAGGCGACTGCCTTCGGCTCGGGTCATGGTCCTGGAGTCCTGGGATCGAGTCCCACATCGGGCTCCCTGCTCAACAGGGGGTCTGCTTCTCCCTCTGACCCTCTTCCCTCTCTTGCTTTCTGTCTCTCATTCTCTCTCTCTCTCAAAAAAAAAAAAAAAATGCCTTGTCTTATAACATTGTGTTGCTCTGTCCACACTGATTTATAAACATACCTTTCTCTTAACTCAATGAGAGAGTTTTAAGTGTGATGAAAAGAATTACTTCAGCTTACTACTGCCAGAGGCCTGAGTCCCACCTTGTAGATGACTGATTGAATTCAGTCATGGGTTATCAGAACTGGAAGGAATCTAAGGAATTACTCAGTTCTCCTGTTTTATATATGAGAAACTCAAGGCTCAGACTGATGAATGCCAAGCTCATTGTCAAATGAGTAAAAAGCTAGGATTGGAATTTGAGTCTTTTGCTGAATCAACTGTGTTTTTCTGTAACACTGATTCATTGAAGTAATGTAATTAAACAATGTCTGATGAGACGATATATTTTTGTCTTTGTTTTTTTTTTAAACACCTAGGACAGTGATTCTTATCTCCCTAAAAGATCTCAGTATTAATGACCTTTGACTCTTAAATGTCCTGATGGCTTTAGAAAGCAAAAATACCCGTCTAAAATGGTTTTCATAATAAGCCTAGCAATATGATTCCATGGCCTGGCATATATAGGAGGGGCAACTTACTAGAAGAAGTGAGACAGAAGACTAAGTGCCCGCAGTCAGGTGTGCATATTACACCAGTGATTATCAGGTCCGTCACACAAAGGATGTGTTCACCCATCACTCATTTTTGTTGTTCTTTTTTCCATGTACTAAGAATTACCACTTTTTTTTCTTCTCCTGGTGTAAAGAAATCATAGTTTTAGACCTTAAATTATGATTTAGGTTGTCCTGCCATTTTGATGGAAATAATCTGATTTTCTTGAAGGAGATTAGGAATTCTTGCTGGCATATCTTCTTAGCAAAATATGATTCAATAAAGTTCTGTGAAATGAAAGAGTTACTTCTGAGTTCACCAGAAAACTTTTGAGCTGTTTTCATGAATTCAGTCCTATCCCATGCTAATGATAGATGGTCCAACTTTGGGCTGGATTGTAAGTAGAATGAGGAATTGGAAGGATTTGGCCTGTTTGTATGTATATGCCTATACACACATATAGGTAAAATAAATGTAGATGTGCTGCTCTTTCAGGATGCTATTCACCAGGTCCAGCAACCTGTGAATGAACTATTTGTCATTTTGCTGCTTCACCATTTCTTAGAGACATGACCTTTCCTCTTTGGCCTTCATACTGGTAATTTTAGCTTTCCGGATGTTTCCGTAGGTGGATGTATCCAGATAGTGCATTGGCATGACTTACCTTTTCCCTCCCATGTGGAGAAAAGTGTTAGAGGTGACAGTCCTTATGTGTAGCTTCCCACAGCCAGTGTAGTGACTGGGCTTATCCATAGGCCCTGTGGGAGCTTTAGGGAAAAGCTTGGTGTTGCCTGTAGATTTTGGTTTAGGGATCCGTGTTGGGATTCTCTGCTTGCATACCTCCTTGATCTTGAATTAAACAGAAGAACAAAAGGTAGTTAATGGTACAGTTGGTGGAGAAGCAGACATTGTTCAGCTTGGAGGATTTGGCTTCTTTGGAAGCACTAGGTTCTGGGGATACATCAGATATAAAGACTTCCAAGTTGAAGAAAAAAATTTAGTAAAGCAATTCTGCTAACATGTGTTGAGTGTGTGCTATGCAAGGCCCTCAACAGTAGATAGCACTAAACAGAGATAAGTTGCTTTCCGGCAATCATAGCATAGTGGGACGTAAGCAAGAGGAGTGTCTCAAATTAATCTCAAAGCACCATGAGGTTGTCAAAGAAAGGTTAATTTCAATTGAGGGGTCTAAGAGCTTCATGAAGAAAATAGCATTTGACTTGGGCCTCTAAAGACTTAGGATTTTTAATAGCAGGAATGGGAGGGCATTCTAGAGTAAAGGAATACTTTTGGCAACAGGATGAGGGAATATTTTTGGCAGTGTCCCTGAGATAGGAAATCAGAAACAGTTGAAAAATGGAGTGACTTCAGATTAGGTTGTATTTGACAGGTGAAATGGGACTGTAGACTGGGCCTAGATGGGGAAAATTGTACCTGATTCTATAGACTGTACATGCTGGAGGGGATGGAGGGGAATAGGAAGGGAAAAGGCTGGGGGAAGACACATTATGGAGGTAGAATTGTATTAATATTTGTTCCCTGTTAATATATGAAGAGTGAGAGAGGAGTCACAAATAGGTTGAATGATCTGGACTGGGAGAGTGGGTTGTAGAGTGTGAAAGAGTGTGATTGAGTTCACATTCACCTAAAAAATACACACTTATTTTCATTTGTTAAGGAAAAATACCCTTGGATAAGAATACTTGTTGGTAAAGAAATGGGAAAAAGTTCTCAGCTAACTGTAGTTCTCCCATTATAATCCACAGTTTCTGGTGATGATTATTTTCCCCCTCTTTGGTTGCATCATCCTTTCTTTCCTATGAGCTCAAAAATATAAGTTTTTGAAAATGCATTGCAATTTTCATCATAGATTACTAATACTGTTTTTATGGGAACCCTTCTTATATTATTTTTCATTCTACAGAAATTTGTTTCCATGTTTTTAAAGTACTGATAAAGTGCAGTTAAGTCTCTTTATGTAAACATTTAGTTACTTAAAATGCCCTTTAACTTTTAAAGCAACCATATTTAGATTTTCAAATAAACAGTACATAGACTTAGCTAACAATATGAGGATTGCTAGAAGAGTTTTTGGACTTTCGTATTGACATTTTTTTTAATACTTAATCCTAAACGTAACAAGTGAGATGTTGATACTCTGATATCAGGCTCCTCCTTATCTAGATGGTATGCCTACCTTTCAACCTGTCCTCATGGTCTCATCTTCAGTGCTGAAATGCTCATTCAACATTTTTACCTTTCAAATAGGCAGAACCTTTTTTTTTTTAATTATGTTAGTCACCATACATTACATCATTAGTTTTTGATGTAGTGTTCCATGATTCATTGTTTGCGTATAACACCCAGTGCTCCATGTGTGCCCTTCTTAATACCCATCACCAGGCTAACCCATCCCTCCCACCCCCCTCCCCTCTAAAACCCTCAGTTTGTTTCCTGGAGTCCAAACCCTCAGTTTGTTTCCTGGAGTCCTCATGGTTTGTCTCCCCCTCCAACTTCCCCCCCTTCATCTTTCCCTTCCTTCTCTTAATGTCCTCCATGCTGTTCCTTATGTTCCACAAATAAGTGAAACCATATGATAATTGACTTTCTCTGCTTGACTTATTTCACTTAGCATAATCTTTTTTAAAAAAAAATAATAAAACTCAGTGCCTAGTAAGGGTTTGGTGAGATGGGCGACCTTGGTGATGATTACAATAGTAGTTTGGTAGAGTGTATCAAGATACCTAAAACTCACACTCTGTGACTCATTCATTTTATTGCTAGGAATCTTTTCTAGGAAATAATTAGAGATGTAGGCAAGGCTAATCACTTTTGCATTATTTATAACAAAAGTTTACACTATATATTACACTATAATCACAAGAAAGTATTATACTGTCTTGAAATGATGCTTTTGAAGATATAGGAAAATGCTTATTCAGAAATGTTAAAAGCAGAATTAAAATCTATATATGTGCTTTAACTATGTATGTTTGAAGAGAAAATACTAGGAGAAAATATACCAGTGCTGTCAGTGGGTAACTGGTTAGTGAGGTTATAGGTGTTTTTTATTTTTCTTCTATTTTCTATATTTTCTACAATAAGTATACAATTACAAAAAGCAACACTAAGTTATATTAAGAGATTAAAAAAAGAAGGAAACACTTCAGAGATCAGAACATTTATGTGCATATCAACCATATTTTCCCAACCATGAGCAGTAGCAGCTGCAACTGAAATCAGTGATGGACTAATTCAAGTTATCTAATCTTGTCACCATAGCAAATAATAGCCTTTCCAAGATGGGTTTCTGCAATGTCCTTTAACTTTGTCAAGATTTAGATTGGTTCTCCTGTTGTACAAAAATCTGTTGGAATCCTATTTAAATTATAGATTCCTGGGCCTTCCCCCTAGAAATTATAATTCATTTGTCTATGGATGTGCCCAGACATCCTCAATTTTAATAAACTGTCAGGCTGATTCATCTGATGCAAGTGGTCAGGCTGGCACACTTTGAGAAACACTGCCATAGTTGAACCGCCTTTAGAAATAAGTTTTAAGTTGTGGCATGCCTGGCTGGCTCAGTTGGTGGAGCGTCAGACTCTTGATCTCGGGGTTGTAAGTTCAAGTCCTGCATTGGGTTTACTTAAAAATTACTTAAAAATAAAATTTTAAAGGGGTGCCTGGGTGGCACCATCAATTAAGCATCCGACTCTTGGTTTCTGCTCAGGTTGTGATCTCAGGGTTGTGAGATCCAGCCCCATGTGGGGCTGTGGGCTCAGCGCAGAGTCTGCTTGGGTTTCTCTCTCCCTCCCCCTCTAAGCCGCCCCCGCCCCCGCACTTGCATGCTTTCTCTCTCTCTATCTCTCTAAAATAAATAAATAAATCTTTTTAAAAAAATCTTAAAAAAAAAAGAAAAGAAAGAAGAAATAAGCTTTAAGTTTTCTTTCACCTGGAATTCTGGCCTGCCTGGGTGTGGGAGGTTCAGTGGTTTTCATCAACCTGTGGGACTTTTAAAACGCTGCAGATGTCCACATCCCTTCTTAGGACCTACTGACTCCGATTGTCTAGGAGTGTGGAATATGGGCGTGTGAATTTTAATAACTGCAGGTTATTCAGAACTGAAATCCCTGTGATAAACCAATTGGTATAGGAACACAATACTGGTGGGGCTTGTTTGTTTTACAATATATTGTTATGCTTTGGTGTTTCCCACTGTTTCTAGACCATTGATGGTGCAAGCCAATTTTGTGTCTTCTTAACTCTGATTGCACTACATAGTTTTTACCTCTAGATGGCAGCAAAGGCTAGTTATTTTATTAGAACAGTCCTAAATGTCATTCGCCTATCTTTTAAAAAATGATTCTATGTGTTTTTTTATTTTTTCCTGTATGAATTTTATACTTGGACATATTTCAGTAAATGAGATATGGAGCTTTAAAATGTGTCATCTCTTGAATCATTTTTATAGACCATTATGTCAAATAGCTCCAAGAAAGTTTTGTCCAAATTTGGAGTGCATATTGCAGGCGGAATCTATGCATATGTCTGTTTTAAGACCACACAGTAAATGTTCTACTCAGAGTTGGAGGCTCCTGGGTTCCATCAGAAAGCAGATGTCTTGGAGGAGATTAAGCTAGTTGGAAAGCTCATGCATAGAAGAAAATAATTTTTTTTTTTTTTTAATGTTTAACTCAGTTCAACATGGAAATTGGGATTTGGAATGGATTACAGGTCTGAGGATGCCAAATTCAGTGAGGCAGAGGCATTGGTTTTATCTAGGGAGCAGGAGAAAGAAACGGAGTACATGTGTGGAATGTATTCACTAAATTCTTGAAATGTTGGCTTACTTGGTCCACAATTTCTAAAAAGAAACCAAGCAATCTACAAGACTCCCTGGTTACAGCAAGTAATTAAATGATATTGAGTCTTTGTGACCAAAAGAAGTGCCGAAAGGTGAAAATGTTTTCAGTTTTATTTGAAGTCTTAATTATGTAGCCCAATTTCTACTTGATGCTTGTGCTCTTTCATATTATCATGGAGGGTAAACATCTGAAAGCATACCAGAACAAAATCAGCATTTATGGGGAAGCTATTAGATCCTAGTTAGACAGCTGGAGTCAGGATGTTCCCTTTTCTGTAAATGAAATTAATTTTGTAAGTGCTTTGAACTTTTTGGAGATGTATTGGCAACATATTATCTAAGAAAACAGTGTTCCCTCAGGAGTGTTCCTGACTCCAAGGACTGCACAGGCCCTCAGTACACCTTTAGCTCTAGAGGTTGAAAGACTCAAGGCTCCCAAAGACCTCCTATCATTTTGATTTGTGGTTATTGGGGTGATGCAGGGTGGGGGTAGATTCAGTGCTGTCTGACTCCCTCAGGGACCCAGCTGTGTTATCAGAATAACAGTATTTTGTATTTTTGTTTTTATCTCTTTTTAATGGGAAAGTGCATAAGTGATTATGATAGATGTGATGAAAAGGAGGAAATGATAAACTGGAAAAAAAAATCTTTGAAATATTATTGCCTTCATTTCTTTTGTCTTTTGTATTGTTTGGTAAATCACTACTAATTTGTATAAAGAAAAAAAAGGAAATGACAGATAATGAATCTAGCAGATAGCCTGGAGTTTCATAAACTGCTTTGGGTTTTTTCTCTTGATTTTCTCAGAACTTCCTCATTATACAATAAAACTTTATCACTATAGATTTTACAGTTTTATATGGTGAGAGGTCCTTCAAAAGGAAACCCTATAGTTGGATTCGTTCATTCCTGTTAACCTCCTGTGAGAAAACGTTTGGTTTTAAATACTTGCAGTGCTATGATTTCTATTGAAGAGTTGTCTAGT